GGCCTTCCCTCTCCGCCCCGGCGTGCCCGGGCTGCTGGCCACAGCCCGCGTGCAGCACGAAAAGGGCTCGGGTCGCTCCCGGCCCGCACAGAAAGTAGGGCTGGAAGGGACTTTATGAGGTTATCTAGTCCTGCTCGAGGCAGGCTCATCCCTGACTTAAGCCTTCCCAGTTGAGTATCTGTCTAACCTGCTCTTAAAAATGTCCAGGGATGGAAATTCCTCAATTTCTTTACATAGCCTGTTCCAATGCTTGACCACTCTCATAGTCAGAAACTTCTTTCTAGTCTTCACCTTAGATTTCCTCTGCTGCCGTTTGAGGCCATTGCTCCCATTCCCATTCACTGTGAGCACAGAGAATAGTTGTCTCCATCCTCTTCATAAATTTTCCTTTGAGTATCTGAAGACCATTGTCAAATTCCCCCTCAACCTTCTCTTTTTCACACTAAATAACCTATTTTTTTCAGCCTCTCCTCATAAGTCATGTTTTCCAGGCCTCTAATAATTTTTGTGTCTCTTTCCTTTTTAAATTACTCTAGCCTCTAGAACGTGGCCAACTTTCAGGCTATCTAAGCACCGAAAAAAGTTTTCATTTTCTACTCTTCTTTTTTTCCATAAAGCAGCTGGACCTTGCCAGGGAAATAACAGCTTGAATGAAAAGTTCCTTTGTTTGTGGAGTAGACTGGTAAGATCATAGAGGATGGAAAAAAACCCACAAAACCATGATGATATAATCTTGGTTGTTTTGTGCCCATATGAACGCGCTATGGGAGACGAACACCCAGTATACACTAGGCTTTAAATACAGATCAAATAAAGCTGTCATTATTTCACAGTTGTTGTTGTTACTATTAATTTGTGGCAGTTGTGCCTACAGGTCCCAGTGAAGAACTGAGGGGATTTATTATTCATGTATTATAAAGAGAAGCCCTTTTAAAGACTATCTCAGGTGTGGTGTTCTAGGGAATTGAGGCCTCATACCTGATGTTCTAGAAAGCAAATCCTAGTATTTGTAGCAAATCCATAGCCATGTAGAGCACCTGGGCAGCAGAACTGGAGTGGTCCTGCTTCATGAGTGGAGAAAAAAATATTCTGGGGGTACAGAAATACTAATGCACATCTCTTGGATAATGCAAAGTTCTGTTCTGTAGGAGAGTAACTGGTACCAGATGAGCTGATAGTTTGTAAGTCTCTTGTTGGTCTGTGCCATGGAAACCCACGGATGTGTGTTTATACGTGCTAATCCAGAAGCATTGGGTTGAAACGGCCTTTGCAGAGCAGCCCTGCAGCCTAAAATAAGAGGAAAAACATCCTTCCTTTTACCCTCCACACATCTACTAAAACTGGGTGCAAAGCTGAGGCTTTGGCTCTCTTGATTTTTTCCAAGCACTTAAGTAAGTAGTTCTTTTATCATAAATGACCTGTTGATTCAGCTTGGACTAATGTGCATCAGGATACATGATCACGGGTTTCCTGGATCTGGGCTTCATATGATAAAAATAGCTACTGATTATGGCACTAGTTGGTAATCTTTTGGAGCTGGCCAAGTAGCACAACATAGCTAATGCTAATACACGTATACTGGATAAAGATATATTTTCAGACATCAGATACCTACTTAGCAAAGGTCTTGCTCAAAACGGCACTCATTTAGCTCCAGATTTTGTTCCCACTGAAGTCAAGAGAAACGTTGCCATTGACTTCAGTGGGACAAGAATGCTGTCCTGAATGAATAGGAAAAATGTATGCTGATTGTGAAAAAATGAATAGGAAGGAAAATGGATATTTTGCAAGTAGTTTTTCTTTACTGTTTCATTTAGAGAGATCCTCAAATTCACTACAGACACATGCAGAGTATTTCATCTGCTAAATCAAACCCATGTAAATTGAAGCCAAAGCCTAGTCTATGAAGAATGCATTTCCAGTTCTTTTGAGTAGCTGCAGTGCGAGACATTTAAGGGCATGTATTCTCTAGCAACAAGCTTTAAACACAAATAATATGGTCATGTTCTGTGTGCACAGTTATTTGCTGCAGGGTTGTTGGTTGTAGTCATGTTGGTCTATGGACATTTACTCAAAGAACCTTATCTGCCAGTTATTTGCTGGAAATTTCACTTTTTTTTTGTTCGAGAAACAAATGATAGCAATGAGAACTGCTGTAAAGTTGCAGCTGTATTGCCTTTGTAACCTGTATTGATAGTTATCTATAATGGCTCAAATTAGGTAGTAGCTACTCTTGAGCATATCAACGTATGTACAAGAGCCTTTAGTACATTGATTACACCAGTGCCTCTGATCCTAAAACACCATTCAGGTGTTCTGATCCTAAAACACATCATCAGGGCTGCTCATATGTATAAAATTACCGTAATTACTCCTGTGCTTGCAAAACTGGGCCATTATCGGAAGTGTGTCCTGACAATGACACCATTATTTGAATTATTTCATATAAATCCTGAAAATATTCCATATGGGTACAAAGGAATCTTATCAATCAGCATGAATGTTTTAAACATTTAGTTATCTCTAAATCGTTCTAATTAAGCCACAAAGTGTGTGTGGGGGGAGGGGGTGGGGGGTTATGGATGCATATCAAAATATTGAAGCATCTGATATAGACATTAAAACACAAGAGTCCAAGAAAATACTCAGAGACTGTCAAACCACATTTTCATCAAGTAATGTAACAGAATTAACTTAACTACCTCTTCTATTTTGTTAAGAAATTTATAATTAGTTTGGGGATAAGAACTCCTAATATAAATTCCAAACTCAGATGAATTTATACAGCTGCCACTAATCCCTGACTACTAGTATTTTCAAGGAGACGTGGTAGTAGTTTCCATATGGCTTGATAAGTAATAAAACTAGAGATGGTCTCAGGGGCTGAAGGGAAGGTGATTTAAGTCCTTCTCTCATCCCTCTGACTCTGGACTGACTGGGACTGAATTGATTCCCGTTTTAATATGGTTTAGCCTACAATTAACTTCAAATTTTGCTCTTTGAAATGGTCCCTTAGGGACAGCTGTACTGGCCCCTAGCAACTCCTCATGTACTATCCAAGTCCCTTTCTGCTTTCAGCCGTGTCTGCAGTCTATCAAACCATACCTCTTCCACCAGAAGAAGGGGAGTAGATAATGTAACTCTGTGCCACCCAGGGTTTCCTTTAGGACCAGGAAGTTTCCAGTTGCCCTGTTTTGTTAGGTTTCTATCCAATTTGCATTGCAAGAGTAACAAAAATGGGAAGGAAACGGGGACATGAAAGAACAAGATATACTTAGCAGACACTGCTATAAAATTATTCTCATATCAGCAACCTGCACCCGCTCTTCAGAAATGGGTTAAGCCAACTTTCTCTAATCTGCCTTTGCTCAAGTTTTGGCTGCTTAACTTTCCACTAACTCACTGTCCAAGAATTCACTTCAAATACTTCATGAGAAGATATACACAGCAATGAAAATAAATATTAATGTCCCTTCTGTTCCACTCATTTGTTTGCTCGATTCCCTTACTATTGCTAGAAAATGCATATTTAAGACAGAAATGTCTTATGGAGTATCCATTCAAACAGGTGGACTATCTAACTGTGCCTCATGAACTGCGCAACAATAATCAGATAAGTGAAGCTATCACTTGGAACAAAGTGTGGATCCCTATTTAAATTGCAAGGATTTTACCTTGTAGTCCAAAGAAGGCCAAATCCAGCAAGCCTTCTACAACTGAATGTCTCATTGGGCTCAGGGACAGAAGTTCATTATGCTGATATTCACTTTAACAGGTCCCACTACAAGCCCACATAAATCTAAGAGCTGTGTATACACCACAGGTTTTTCCTTCAGTATTTATATGTACACAGTATAAAAAACAACTCACCACATGCCTCAGTTCTGTGATTAATGTAACAGGCCCTGGAACTAACACTCTCCAGATATGAATGGTAGAATAGTAAAATGTTTAACCTTTTACAACAAAGATTTGATGCACCTTGGCTGAATACGCATAGTTTATAAGTAGGCAGTGGAAAATACACAGATTTAAATATGCAATGTAAAAAAAAATGCCAACACTCACTATGCTCAGGTGTACTGCTGTCACTGCTAGGAGGTGGTGAGGCAGCTAGGTGGATAGGAGCGGGACAGCTGGACATTTTAGTCCAGATGCTAATCAACCTTACAAAAAATGCATGAAATCCTTAAGTCCACATAAAGGAGAAAGGGCCTCAATTGCAACGTCTTAAAAGAAATATACCTTTATCCTGAGACCCAAGAGTATGGGACTCAGCCTATCTCCTTCAGAAGAATGAAGGGCTAGAATAAAAGGAAAAGAAAGTGTCAGACAGTGACTGTGATTTCCAGTAAATATGAAAACGGTACATGAACACATATCAGCAAGTGAAAGCACTTAACAGGGTGAAATGGATGACCAGAGGTAAAAACAGCCCGCCCAAGAGGTAAATACAAGTAAAATTGTGACCTTTGTTATCACATAAATAAGTTTTGCTTTGATTCGATCCAATGCACACTTAAAAGTGCTTAGGAAGCCTTCTGCAATTGCAAATTGGACAAATCTTGACAAATTGAGGCAACTGGGGGTGGGGTGAGGTGGGGAGGAATAAAGAAGCGTTAACTTTTGGAATAGGCAGAATGCAAAACAGAACAGGAGACCAACCATTGTACAATCTCAATGACAGCAAAGGGCAGCAGAAAAAAGTATGATCAAGGTCATGTAAAAATAGACTAAAGAATGTTTCGTGCTGTTTGCAGCCTGAAGTTACCAAATGCTTACGTGCAGGGTAACTCTGCTCTTTTCCTTATATTATTCCTTGGGTTAAAAGTGATGGGAAAAGCTGTCGATAAAACTGAGCCAAGTGCAAATAATGTTCTTTCTAAGATACCTGTCTAGTTTAAGGAGTCTTATAATCTAAAATGAGAGCAAAAATGTTTCTCAGTAAATGTATTTGTGACAGGCAGCATATAGTAGTAGTGCCAATAAGATAAAGAATGAGGGTATCAACTGGGGAAATAATCATAGCAGGTTAAAAGGGGAGGGAGAGGCACGACTTACTGCACATTTACTGACCCATGGCATTGCCTGTGTGTCTACTCTATCCTGTAGTAAATGAAATCTTCTCTGAGGCAGGTTACTCCTGAATGAAACAGCTGCTAAATTACTGTGTTTTAGCTTCCACTTGATGCAGGTTGGCAAACAGACAAAGCAGTTATAGCAGATCAGCTTGGTGAGTAGTAAATTCCTCCTCCACCCCATTAATGAGGTTTATTTGCTTCATTTGACCATACCCTGATGCTGATTTATATGACATGAGGTTTGGTAGCTCTTGAGTTTTTAGTTGGCAACTACCCACATAATAAAAATCCCCACCTCAAGAGCTTCTATTCTTGGCAGTTTCTAAGGAGAGACTAACAACTGAAGAGCCATGAGAATAAGCTGCTTTTTGACCCTGTAAGATGAATCCTTACTGAGAAACTGGTGGAGGGGTAGTGGAAGATGGGGCAGAGATTATGTATGTGCTCTGTGCGTTTTTACAGTGGAATTTGGTCTCTAGGTCTGTCTTTCAGGATTCATTTCTTGTATACGCAATGCTAGCGATGTCAGTGGGAACTTGAGGGGAGCACATTGCAGGACTAGGGCCAAAATCCACTGTTAGTCTGTCATCTATTAGAATTGTGTCTTTCCCATGAATTTGCCCAAAGTAATGCTAGTTGCTACTACTACTTCCTAGAAAGACTTTTCCCCAACCTAATTGATCTTGTTGTCAGGGGACATCCCTCTAATAATGAGCTCAGCATAAATCTGAGCAGGGCATAGTTTTAAAAAATTATTTTGATCAAATCTAACATGAAACAAAGCAAGTAATAGCAACATAAAGTAATTTTAATTCAAATTAGGGCATTTAAGCTTCCTCATTAGAACTAACATGGTACTGAGATAAGTCACAGTGAAAGAAGAATCAATTAAGGTTTAATAAACTTGATCTAATTAAATAAAATAACAGCTTAAGCATAAAGATGGATGGTGCCTCATCATTAAGCACTGGAAAATTGGCACTAGGCATGTAAGGGCTCCATCTACTTTCCAGTTTTGGGTACTGCTTTGTAGGCTACAGCTGACTTAGCAAAAGCTTAGGATTCAAGGTAAACAGCATTGAAATGATTCACTGTAATTTGTATTATGTTCAGATGAGCAAGCACCACTGCACCAACATTATTTGCTAATGAGATAAGCTGGACATCAGGAAACAACACAGAAGAGGACTCATACTCTTCAATTATATGGATCCTTTCTGCATCAGTAAGCACACAATGACGCTTCAGTGCAGTTACTCCTATTTTTCATGGTGAGAGAATCAACACATGAATTTCTAATATATAAAAAGCTACCAAAAGCAACAGGTCTTATGTTCCCAAACTAGAATGTTGTTGAATTATTCCAGCTAAAGTCTTGTCTCATAAAGTATTTGAAAGATGTAAATATCAAAAAAGGAAAGGCTCAGTTTCAGTTCCACTGCAAAGGAAAATTTAAATAGCATAAAACTTAACAGTGATACTAATCAGACTCTGGAACAGTATCTCTTGGCAGGGAAATGGTGGAAACCCAATCAACCTGAATAATTTTAACTTAGGCTGAATGAAGCAATGGAAAACACAGGATACTGTAAGGAGAAATGAAGTCCAGACCAGAAGACCAGCCTTTTTCATTTTTAACTTCTATTAACATACATTTGGAAGAATGGAAAGCACAGAATATAAATGAGGAAAAAAAATAGTGAGGCTGGTTTCCTGGACGTTTTTCTCAGAAATTTCTGTGGTACAAAGCCAGGTTGGTTATTTTAGTTAGCTGGGATGGTTAAGTCAGGATGATCTTGCCTTGAGCAGGGGGATGGACTAGATGACATCGCGTGGTCCCTTCCAGCCCTGCTTTCCTATGATCCTGATATATTTCTTTTGTATTAAGCGTATGCCTCATACCTTTAGGAAAAAACTGCTGGAAGCAATGCTAAGCAGCGAACTCAGCCCTCAATTTCAGAAAACACTTAAGCCTACTCTTAAGTCTCACTGATTTCAGTGAACATGTGCTTGTAGTTAATCATATATTCCCTTCCTAAGTAGGAATGCTGCCCAGAACTGAGCATTATCAACATTTTTCATAGTGTGTACCACATCTCAAATGGTGTTGCCAACTCTCATGATTTTATTGCGAGTCTTGTGATAACTTATATTTTTCTTAAAACTCTATTTGTAGAAAGTATCTCAGTTTTCATGAAAATAGAACTGTGTGTTGTCCCTGTGTATTGTTGAAGAGAAACAATAAAAAATATAAAGTTTAATGGCTGAAAAAACAAAATGAAACAAAACACAGAAAGTAAATAAAAATAGCCTAACTTTTTACTGGATTAAACCCTATTGAAATCAACAGAGGCCTCTACTGTTGACTGAAGCTAGGCCCAGATTTCACCCACTATTTTAAAAAAATCATAATTTTTAAGCCAATTTCATAATTTTGGCAGGTCTGACCTATGATTTTTTTTAGGAGCTAGGGTTGGCAATACTGCTTGACAGAGTATCTCATGAATGGCTTCCTTCTTTCTAGGCAGGCAAGGTTCTTTGAGTAGATGTGATATCTTATATCAAACCAACTGAGTAGTTGGAAAAAAGTTCTTTGCAAGCTTTTGGGCGCAGTCACCCTTCTTCAGGCATAGGGAGTCTTTACTATTCTGAGGCTCCAAGGAATGAGAAGCTAAAAGTATGAGGGGATGTCAGTGAGACTGTAAATAAGTAGAAATTAGGAAAACAAAATGTAAAGCAGGGAAGGGGGAGGGGTGGGGGGGAAGCAGGGGAAAGAAAAGCCAAAGGTGAGTAAGGGAGACTCTACAGTGATGATAATTCAAGGTAGAAAAGAGGCTGTCTGTGGAAAAAGGAAATGGCTGGAAATTAGGAAGACAAAGGGAAGAAAAAGAGGGGAGGAGAGAAAAGTGTAAAAGGTCAGGTCTGGCAGGTACCTGGTGAATCAGATGTCGAGCAGATTGTAATGTGTCATCTTAAATCCAGTGTCTATATTGAATCCATGTTTTTTGTATCCAGTAGATTTATGAAGTGAAGTTCGTAGGCTCGTCTATGAAAGGTGTTTTGTAAGCTCCCTTTGAGGATTAAAACGGAGAGATTGGAGAAGGAGTGATTGTCTTGTGAGAAATGTGCCCTCACAGGTAATTGGGTATTCTTGTCTTTGATAGATTTCCGGTGTACATTCGTTCTGGTACACAGTTGTTGTTTGGTTTCTCCTACATATTTTCCATCAGGGCATCTGGTGCACTGGATGAGATGTATACCATTCCTGGATCTTATATCTGCATCTCCAGAAATGTTGATGGATCTGTTGTGTGGTGTAGTTACTGTCTGGGTGGTGGAGATAAGTTGGCAGGTTTTGTATTTCTTGTCCTGGCATGGTCTGGATCCACTGGGAGTTTGCTTCTGGTGATGAGGTTAGTGAGGTTCAGTGCTTGTTTAAAGGCTAGGATGGGTGGTTCTGGAAAGATCTCTTTAAGAATTGGGTTGTCTTCCAGTATGGATTGAAATTGTTTGAGGATTTTCCGTGTAGGTTCCAGGGAAGGATGTCATAACTAATGGTGTGCGATTTGTGGGGATTTTCTTTTCATACTGCAGCAAATCTTCACATGGTATCTGGGTGGCTCTTTCAAAAGTGCGTTCTATCTCTCTGTAGTAGTGTCCTTGTTGGCTGAAGCCCCTTTTGAGATTTTCCCTCATTTACACACGTGTAACATTCCTATGGCAACTACAATTGCTCATATAGAAAAAGTCATATTAGGAAGGAGTTTACTGCAGTTTTAGTTTCATACAATGTGATTTAGCATTGGAAAAGAGGAGAGTTATGTGCCTATCAGTCCTTCGCAGTTCTCCAGAAAGTGCTCTGTGGATCATAGTCTGGAAGTTGTTGATAGCAACTTTTCAAGTTTTTGACAAGTGGAAATTCCCTAGGGGAAACCAGGCAGATTTCTTTGTGTTGAGGGGGAAACAGTCCACAAATACCAGCTAGTTCCCCTACTGGCATCCTGCACCATATTCAGAAGGCGTGCTGTACTCCTGTAGTATTGCAATCATGCTGAGCTGGGAGAGCAAGTGTTAACTGGTCTCTCCTTCCCCCCTAACCATGGAAAATAAGTTCTCTGGCTGGGTCAGTTGGCGGACTATAGCCGAGATTCCCTTGGGCTACTATTGCCTCTTTCTGCATTACACAAGCCAGAAACCAACCTGCCAGCAACAGAAGCTAAAGGAGGCTGCAGCAGCTGTTGTGAATTGGGCTGATCTGCTGATACTTTGTGCTCACCGGAAGAGGATTCCTCCAGCCAGAACACAGGCCTGATCCTTAAGGGAGGAATTTTGCTTTAATGTACACTTCCAAAGAGAAGGATGACCAAGAATTCCACCCTCTTGTGTCAGTACAGGAAACCCTCGGTATTCGCGGGTTCAGCATTCTCAGTTTCAAATATTTGCGAATGGCGAACCTGCATTTTAAAGACACTTTAAACACTTACACAGTGATAGAAGAGGCTGTCCTTGGGAGCTCTGCACTTGCTGCTGCTGGGCTCCCACCGCTGCTGCCCGCCACCCACCCGTCGGGGCATTGCGTTCACGAACGCAGTGCCCTATTCATGGATTTTGCCATTCACAGGGATCACAGGAACATATCCCCCGCGAATGGTGAGAGTTGCCTGTACACAGCTTAATAAATGAGAATATATTTTGTTAATTATCTGACATTAAAGGAGAAATAAGTTAGTTTGTTTCTTTTTCTATGATGGGTCTGTAAAATTAATGCCTATTGTTGACATGACTGACCTTTGTTTGGCTATGGAGTTGAACATGTTTTTATTTTGAAACCCAAAGTTACAAAGTCTGAATTAGCGAATGAGACAACTGTTATCCACAATACTGCATGTAGAAGACTTGTCTGTTATCCCAAATGTTGGCTGAATCTCAAGAGATTCAGAATTTTGCAGGTTCAGGTCTAAGCCCAAAAGGTAAAAAGGGGGGAAAAAAACTCCCATCTGAACCTCTTGAACATGCAAATAAAGAGCTAGGTATCTTGAAGCTTAAAGTTCCCATTCCTTTATGTTTCTCTAAAGCCTATTAGAGTGAGTTAGCAGAATGACTGAAGGAGACTTAATCACTCTACCTGTGTTTTTGCTAACACTTAATGTTTAAAGTAGTGAGCTTGCATAACCAGCCTGCTAGCATAACTGCATACATAATCAGTTAGGCATTTACCAGGGCCATATATAGCTCTCACACAAACAGGTGCAACTCCACTGGAGTCAAAGGAGTTGTGCCAGTTTACTCTGGGAGCTGCATTTAGGTCTTCTGCCTTGAGCAACAGACTAATGGCAGAAGCCTCACTCCCCACATTAGTGGCAACTGGATAACGTGCATCTCTTCTCCTACAACGTTGTTGCACTTCAATACAAATTTGGTAACCTTATTTGTGCCCCAATATAAACAATCATCAGGAGGAAGCAGATCTCTGTTCTTAGCAGGAGTAAATCCTCAGTCTTCTCCATTCTCTTACTCTCCAGGGCACAAGTTAAAAAGGAAGTAGGTAAAGAAATATTGATGATGACCTTAGTAATGAGATCTGCTCCTATCCTCACAGTTGCTAGTAGGTGGGAATAATCCAGTAGTCACCAAGTAGTGCCTTCCCTAATGCAGGATCATGTTTTCAGCACTCTGTCCTGAGTATCACTTTTAACCTTGTGCTAATATGAGCAGTACTTCAAACCTGTGCTGTGCAGGATCAGGTCTTTAGAGATCAATTTTCAGGTGCATATATATAAGCATTGCAAAGAGTCTAGTGACGTGAACCCAAGAGACCATGAGAGTATCACGCAGGAAAAAAAATACTAATCTCATCGTTCAGCAG